TCCATGCTCTTATTTTGAAGTAAAGATAGTTTCCTGTACTCCGTGCTTTCGTTTCCCATCACAAATCAAATCCGTCATGTACCCATACTGTTTATTGGAAAACAGTTTTAAAATTACTTTATTGATGCTTCTTTAATGAAAAATCTACAGCAAACAAAAGAAAAAGACAAAGAATCAGCCGAACTAGCAATCCTCAACAACTTTTTAATTTTTACACCAGGAGCTAAAAGTCTGTTTCAGGAAATCACATCCTCAGCAATCGGCAGTTGTAGAATTAAGTTGTAAAAGAGTTTTTACAGCGTTAGTTGGCAGTGTTGTGCATATATTGTACATGAATTGTTGTTAGCTAGTAAGTGTCAAATTGAACTTGCACCTTAAAATTAGCTTCCGCTAGTTTTTGTATGGCATAAGCGCTTTTGAAGTTGCAGACCTAAATATTTTCATAAGCGCTCAAGAAATTGCGGAGATAATTTTTGGATTAGCGCTGCCCACAACTGTCTAATGTTTTCTCCAACACTGACAAAGAGCTGATGCCTTCCTGAGGAAAAACTTCCTGGTTTCAAAGTTACAAATGAAAGGTTTAGAAATCCTTAACAGAAATGCCTCTCTCTCTTCATGACACTAYGGTATAATAAGAAATAATATTTGGTCAAACCCTGTAAATAAAGCCTCCAGCTGCTTAGCCCACCATCTATGGATCTCTCTGCACATGATTTGAAAAATTCTGTTTCTGTTACCACCTTCAAATCTCAGCTTAAATCTTATCTGTTTAGGATAACATATTTATTAGAATCAAAAGTATTTGTAACAGCCATCAATCGTCCAGTTTATAGTTTATTTATTTGAATATTATTCCTATAATTTATCTAAAATCATGCAATCATACAGTTTTTCTTGGTTAATTTCATCCGCTTAAAGAATATAGGATCCACTCTTTTTTCATAATCACTATTGTAGCAGGGCAGAAGACACCTCTTGCAAATGTGTTGTTATCCAGTGGCAGATCTAGGTGTTTGTGAGTAACTGACCTTCAAGGGGCCACAATATTCATAGAGGGGCCAGAGTATTTGTTCAACATCCTTGCACCCAAATCTCCAGTTTTGGTAAGGCATACTTGTAAATTACAGGTTGATGGTCTACCTGGTAAGCCTTGCTCCCTGATGCACCTCCACCAGTGCCTTTGTGCAAGTACACTCTCCTAAACAGCTCTACGGGCATAAACAGGTCATCAGCTGGGGACAACCAATCACTGATATTTCACTCCTTTAACCCGAGTACATCTCATGGTGGTGGAGTAATGGCAGAGTCTCTCCCTGCCATCCCCTTCTGAAGCCCTAGATGTTATTTACCCTCCATCTTCTGTCCTTCCTTCTCAGCCACAACCAAAATATGCCCTTCTCTGCCTCTTCTGCCAAATCTCATGGTTTTCTGACACCCTGCTCCTGTGCATCCCAAGTCACATAGCAGATGTACCATTGAGGACTCAACAAAACCCCTACATCCAACTTCAGTGGGGTACATGATGGCTTTTCACCTAGCTTCCCTACAGTCTCCTGCCAGATCTGCATACTGCACAYGCTTCAATTTGTTGGCAGCTTCCATGCCCTCTCCTCTTGGACCTGTGAGCTCCACCAACAGGATGGTCTTCTGTGGTTCTGACCACATGATTAGGTCTGGCCAAAGCAATGTCTCTATAATCTCCCTGGGGAACCTGATCTGCCTCCCCAGGTCTACCCTTGTGGTCGAATTGCTACCAGGTGAGAGGACTTTTGGTTTCACTTTCTGGGAGTGGGGGGAATGCTGTTCTCTCCTGCCCTTACAAACTGGATTGGGCATCTAGCTGGAACAGAAGGTTTGTTGTTAACCTCTTGTTTGTATGACTCTACCACTTCTGCAAGCTTCCTCGACATTTGGTCATGTCGCCACTTGTAGTGGCCTTGGGACAATGCTATTTTGCAGCCAGACAGGATATGATGAAGGCTTGCATTGCAAGTACTGCAAAGAGGACAGATCTCTTTATTACCAAACCATTGGTGGAGATTTCTAAGACAAGGTAAGGTGTCATTGGTGGATCTGATCAGGAAACTTCTCCCAAGGTCTGCTCAACCCTCCTGATCACTGCCAACTACCTCACAATGTTTCAGCCTACTAATTGCCATAATGACCTCTTCTTAGGCTTTCCACTTCCTCCCTGTTCTTCTCTGGGTGCAAGCTGCTCTCACCAGCTGGTCAGTTGATTCCCTCAATTCCAGCACCATTCGAACCTTCTCCTGCTTATATCCCAGGCTGATGGATCGCAATGATAGTTGCAATGTGTTCCTGTCAAAGAGCCCCACAACTGACAGATATCTTGATAGCCCCAACCACTTCTTGGTGAATGAGTTTGTCACCCCATCCAACTTATCTGCCAAGGGGATCTCGCTCAACTTCAGGGGCCACATCACTCTTGGATACAGGATGGTCTGATAGCTCYATACTTTGTACTTCCCAGGAAGCTGGCTCTGGTTGATCCTGGCCAAGCCATCCATAAGCTACTTCCTCACTGTTTCTCCCATCTACCGATCAGAGCGGTCGACAGTATAAATACAGCTAAGGCTACAAATGGGTTGACCTGCCAAAAATGTGATCTGCTCACTACCTGCGACAAGTACAATATGGTTGTTTTTGGCCCCTTTTCTTAAAGGACAGGCTACGTGATTTAAAGTGTTTGAGCTTCATCCTTAAATAAATATATTTAACCAGTCACACATAACATTAGTAATGTAATGTAATTTTTTTAAAAAGTTTGCACAGTAAAATTATCCTTATTAATGCCATCCATCCATCCATATCTATGCCCGTTTCTTCCTTTCAGGGTCACGGGGGTCACTGGTGCCCATATCCAGCAGTCACAGTGTGAGGGGTGGGGTACACCCTGGACAGGTCGCAAGTCCATCACAGGGCCACACATAGAGACAAACGAGACAAACAACCATTCACTCTCTCACTCACACCTAGGGACAATTTAGAGTTACCAATTAACCTAACAGTCATGTTTTTGGTCTGTGGGAGGAAGCCGGAGTACTCGGAGAGAACCCACACATGCACGGAGAGAACATGCAAACTCTACCTAGAAAGGTCCCCGGGCCGGGATTGGATCTGGCGACCTTCTTGCTGAGAGGCAACAGCTCTACCAACTGAGCCACCATGCTGCCCTTATTAATGTTACATGCATATGTAAATTGATTAAATACTCTCAAACACAGCATGTGAGAAAATCCAGCCATCGTTTCAGTTAAAATACTTTTTCTGCAGGATTGTTCAAATTTTCTTAAGAAGAGAAGAAGACTTCTGTTAGCTTGATTCATGCTGGACTTTCCTATTTAGTGCTGCTAATGTTTAAACATAGAACTGCATCCACCATCATCGCTCTCTGGAAAATGACAGATGAGTGAAAGGACAGGGACACTTCAGGGGGTCAAACAGATTTCAGCTGAGGTCAATGCCCCTGTGGTCCCGCCCCTAGATTCGCCCCTGGTGTTATACATTTTTATTGCATTAACACATTTTCTCCACCCTTTTGCAAAACTGTTAACAGAAACCACTTGTTCCTAACTATTAAAAGTTACCTACAGTAGGTCAGTATGAAATCACTGAAGCGCCTGTTTGCCACGTCTTTGTTGTTCTTTACCAGCATGGAAAGAACATGCAAGACCAAGGTGGAGGTGTGGTTGGAAGGGATCAAGTTTCATAAAAAAAATTGGGCAACTGTTGCTGTAATTTCTTGTTTTCTGATAGATTTTATTTTGGTTTACATTTACAGTATTCATACATGTCAACTTGTATGGATTGTCCGTAAGTTATAAGGATTTTATGTCATTTTGCAGGTATATGGACGTATAGGGCAATCTCACGGATTTTTTCAAGTCTTACGTATTTTTTTAAAACCTCATTTTCAAATTTATCTAACACGTCAGAGCCTGCGTCAAATTTGCATCAAAGCATTTCTGATCCTGGATCTAATTCTTTGCAGAAAGGAAAATTAGGCACAGCATATGTTTGAAGATAACAAATAGCACTGACATGAGAGCAATACAACAGGCTAAAGTGACAAGCAATGGTGCACTGAATGATTTATTTTGTTGTCCATTATGTAATGATTAATTGGAAGAGCCAATTCACTTGGTTGCAAATTGTGTTGTTTGAAGACAATATTTGTTTTTGTTTCATATTTTAAATGTTTTAGCAAAGTTAGAGCCTTTTGCAAACAAAATATGTCACTCTGACCATCCCTGTGTGTTTACTGTTTTAAAATTGTGGAGTCTGAGTTGACTGCTTTTTGAACAAAAACAAAAAAAAACTGTGAAGAAAACCAGAGAGAGAGGATGAAGCACACTGCCAGACTGCAGGTGAGTGAATGCTGAAAGAACAAACGGACTGAGCTGATGAGGCAGGTGATCAACCTACACATTCTCACTCCCGACTCGTCACATATTGACGCTTTTCCAAAGTTCCCTCTGCGTCTTATTTTGACGCATCAGGTGACCCCCTCGCGTCAGTCCTTGACGCCCGCAGCTTTTCCGGGTTGCGCCACCAGGGGTCTTTGGGTCGGKGGTCTGAGGTTAACATGAGGGATCAGGATTAATGGTTAAGTTTAGGTACTGGGATCAGGGGTAGGATGTCCATGGTGAATATTACGTAATTTCAGGCTTTGGAACATGTTGRCGTGAATTTCCTACATTTTYTAAAAATGGTTAATTTTAGGTACTAGGGTCAGGGACAGGATGTCTAAAGTGAACAAAGGCAATTTCAGGCTTCGAAACGGTAGTTTTTGCGCATTTTCTACACTTTCTGAAAATATGACAACAGATTTCGCCCCATCTCGTCAGTAACTGACGTGACGGGGTACCCGGCGCGTCAAAATCGGACGTAGAGGGAACCTTGGAAAAGCGTCAATATGTGACGACATGGGAGTGAGAATGGGTTGGATCAACAAGTGAGACAAATAATACTGGGTTCAGGTGTGAATGGGGCAGGATTGACTGGGAACAGGAATGAATGGTGACACAGAGAAACAATTGTAAAATAAACTGATGTTATATAAAAAATGTAAAAATGTGCTGCAAAAAAATCACAATATTATTTTATTAAAAAATAGCCAGCATTTTTGTATTTTCTGAGGTCAGTTAGCTTTGGTTGCTATCTTGACTTGTGTTGTCTCCGAAAGTTAACCAGATGCAATTGTCAACTGAATGATAACTTTCTGAGAGTTTCATAAAAACCTGCTCAATAGTTGGTGAGATATCTTACTAATGATGCAGACAGAAACACAAAGACAGGTCCTTCAGTGGTGAGCAAAMACAATTGTGGTGATAAAGCGAACCTTAGTAAACTTTGAAAGATTGAGATAGATCTGTATGATTAGAATCACCACACATGTCAACCTCTTCAGATGTTTACCTGTATAAAGAGCCACAAAAATCCATAAATTTTGCAAAGAATCCGTACAACTTGCACCTGCGCGGTGGGGTGGGGTGGGGTGGGGGGGTCTGTCGGCTGCGGACATGAAAGCGCCCGCTGCGAAGCTGGAGGAAAGGAGAGAGGATAAAGTTTAAAACTTATTTCTAGCGGCAGAACAGGTTGGAAGATGGCTGTTTGGTGTTGTTGTTTTATTAAATCATCCAACAGGCTCTGACATGTTAGATAAATTTGAAAATGAGGTTTTGAAAAAAATCCGTAAGACTTGAAAAAAATCCGTGAGATTTCTCTGTACGCCCGTACACCTGCAAAATGACGTAAAATCCTTACAACTTACAGACAATCCGTTCAAGTTGACATGTATGGAATAACACACTTATTGTTTTTTGTTACATTAAATTATAAGGTTAATGTTACATTCTCTGTAATCCTCACTGACTATTGAATAGTTTTCAAAGATTTTGTAAAGTTTAGGTTATAGTGTTAATATTTATTACCTGTCACAGCAATTATTAAGTAAAGAAAGGCCTGCCCTTAGTTTCAAAAATTGGTATTTTTAGGACAAGAAGCATCTACAAAGGTCGGAACTTCAATTCTGACGTCTTTAAAGAACATACCTTAATTTTGTGTTGGCTCTCTCCCCCTGGCCTGCCTGAAACCCATACTGGTTTCAGACTCTGCATGGGGCATCCCAGTGGACCTTTGTTCAGACTGTGTGCGACGGGTTGAGCCATTTGTTTTTCTTATGAGCAGCCTGCCTCGGGAAGCTTCTCCCTGTGCTCTGGGAGGAACAGGACTACCGAACAAGAGGCCAGATTGAGAATTTTGCAGCTCATTTTGACAGAAGAATGAGCGAGCATCTTGAAAAGACACAGATGGGATAATCTCTTCAGTGACGTGATCAGCGGCACTCATGATTGTTCGTGGAGAGCTGGGACGAGATGAAGGTCTAGAGGTGAACTGAGGTTTAAATGCAGGGGGGCTTGGAAATCTGTGGCGCACAGAAGGACATGATGGTGGTAAGCGGACTCTGGAGACAGGTGGTGCTGTCACAGGCAGACTGCAAGGGGACATCTCAGACTCACATGTTTCATTGTTTTCAAACTTCTGACCCATTCTGGCTTGACTGAACTGAACATAACTTGGCTTGTCAGGATGTTCGGCAGCATTGCACAGGTGAATAATTTTCCTTGCCTGCTGGTAGAGACTGTTGGCTTTCTCAGTTTCTTCATCAACATCTGTTTCCAGTTGTGCCCTGGTGATAGTCTCCGGTCCAACAGAACCAGCAGATCTGATAGACAGTGACCCTGGCCTTATGTTGACTCTGTTTGGTAGAAGATCTACTTTCTGGATGGTTATTTTTCGGCGCTGGTAAATCCCAGTTTTCTGGTTTATGACTGGGAGGTTCTGAATGGTAGCTTCCTGCAGCTCTTCCTCACTTTGTGGTTGGCCCTCGTTACTCTGGAAGGAATTGTCCATCAGAACCTCTAAGGGTGGAGGGGGTAGGTTATCCACATCAAGATCGCCTCTGCTGTCACCCGAGCTGTTAGTGTTGTTTTTGCGGTTGATCTCCCCCTTACTACTATTACCTGTGTTAGAAATTAGAAGAATTCGGTTTTTATTGGGTCTTTTAATGTGAGTAGGAACATTAGAAAAGCTTTGTTCTTGTCTTCCATCAGTCCCTTGACTGAAGGTATTGATGAGCCTTCTGACTGAAGGACGTTTCGGTGATTTATTGGCTGACAGTGGTAATAAAGGTAACAATGGCTGATCGGATTCCACCTGGGTTCTGTTTGACCCGTTCAAATAATGCCGTCTCAGTCTTGCTCTGTGCAAACTATGATCAGCTCTTGTTGGTTCATGTATTCCTTGTATTTCAGAAACAGGTTTTCTGTTTGGATCTGGTCCTTTCTGGCTCTTCTGTAACTCTGTCGTCAGATTTAAGCTGCAGGTAGAAGAAGAGTGTTTAGACCAGGCTGAAGCCAGAGGTCGCTGAAGAGTCGGCTGCTGGTCCTGAAGGCAATTTGCCTGCATATATTGAAGAGCTTGACTGGGATCTGGTGGGGAAGAGCTTGACCTCTTTCTTTCAGGCCTACAATATTCATCATCCTCATAATCCTGTTCTTCATCCTCCTCCTGTTCTTCATCATATTCAGTATGGCCCACTGAGTTGACTAAAGGATTGGAATAATTGTTTAGTGCATCTTGAATGCCCTCAGAGCCACAACTTCCAGAACCTGTGCTCCTACTGTGGCGTCGCTGTTTTTCAGATTCTGTCAAGCTCTCGTTCTCTCCCCCAATTCCGCTGTCTTCACTGTGCAGGGTAGAATCCACTGAATTAGACTTTCTAATGGCCGCAACTTCTACCTGAGCAAGTACCTGAGCCAGGCGACGCTCTGCAGCTTGCTTTGTCTGCAGCTTTTGGGCCAACAGTTTAGAAAGGGAGGAAAAATACTCCACTGCTTCCACAAGCGTCGTGTCCCCCAGGGTCTGCACTGAACCTCCAACTTGCCTCATTTTTTCTGCAGAATTTTGGAGCAGGTGCTGTAACAGATCTGGTGGTAGATCAGGATGATTTGCTGTGTTGCTGCTCGGTTTAGTTGACTTTACAACCTGGTCCAACATCCCAGAAGGCAGAGCCATGTTGTCTCCATGTTCCATTAACATCTGCTCCCCGTCCTCAGCTATCTCCTCCAGCACCTGGTTGATCTCCTCAAATTGCAACACCAAGGAAGATATCATGGGCTGCAGGGATATCTGTGTCTGAGCAGCCTGGTCCAGCAGGCTTAGAAGGGTTTCGTATTTGGAAATATTTGGGTTCAGGAAGGTGTAGGCAGCCTGGTGAGCCCTCACCATGTTCGGTGGGAAGTCCATCTTACTTTGAACGGAAGATTTTCTCTGCTTTTCAAWGATTTTTTTATCACCTTTATTTTTTTGTTGACTCTCTATCTTCATTGCATCTGTCTGACTATCACACATGATTTCCTGGGGCGTTGTATTTACCTCTGTTTCTTCAGTGTTCTCTAGGTTTGTGGCAGATGTGTTCAAGTCCAGCTGAATCCAGGTAGTTCCTGTTGAATCATGTTTTCCAGTGAGTAGCAGCGACTCATCTTTTTTCTCTGTATGTTTCAAATGCATATCTTCCACCTCTGGAGGGCAAAAGTCCACATCTTGTGGTGCTTCAGCCRACAGAGCCTTCACAGTTTCAATGCCGTCTGGTTTTGAAAATAACTTTCCTTTTGATGGCGAGCAGCCCATGATTTCATTCAAAGGAAAAAAGATCTACAACAAAAATATATATTTAAAAAATGTATTTTCTAGTACTGTTTTTAGTTTACCATCCAGTCTCTGAATATTAGTTTTGGTAGGTTTCCTCCAGTCATTTCAGCTTTTCTTCACAATCATGTCCAAATGTGCCACAGAGATGTAGAAGATGGAGAGTGGAATGACCACAGTGTGTGCAGAGGAGGACAGACGATAAGACAGATTGTAGTGGTGGGAGGGAGCAGGATGGGTGCACAGATGGTCCTAATAAGTACATTAACATGCACACTACACACACTTGCAAATGCACACCTGAACCTTTATACATAAGACTTTAAGCTCCTCAAGGTAATCAGGGCCAGTTTTATCAGGTGGTGCTTTTAGCCTCATCCACTTACCTGCTGGTACGGTTTACTCTGTAAACTTAACAGTGTGGAAAGCTATTTGTAAGAGTTAGAATGTTTTTCTTRGAAACACTTGCAAAGAATAAAAAGCCTTAACATTCTTTCAATGAATGCATCATCACTCGCCTCCTTTAATGCCAGAGTTTTAGACTAAAATCATTTTATGTTTAGAAATGATGCTTTCTTTGTGATCAAACCTTGAAAATAACATTAAATGCAACCTTGTGGTGTCTTGAGATGAGTCTCAGCTACTACCACATCCATTTTTAGCTCAATATCTGTCATATTGACTGAGTTGTAATCATTTATTTTGTTGTTGTTWGTTAATGTCAAATCTTGAATTTGGTTGACTCCAAATTGTTCAAAGTTTAATCTACTATATTTGACAGTTTTGTTCAAATTCACTCACTTGAGATATTTTGTAACAGATCTTGTGCAATCTGATGTCCTTCAGAATTGGGATCCGTATTTGCTACAACTACGCTAAATTTTAGGTCRCTAAATGTAAAATTGACCGAGTTAACAGAATCTAGTCAATTTTGTGGAAGTCTTCTTGAATTTGGTTGACTCCAAAGGTTATTCACTTATAGATGTATATCAATTTATTATTTTCCAAGAGTTACACTTCATATTCATTCAGTGGTTCATAAGGTATTTTTGTAATAAACACACACACAAACACCCCCCCCCCCCACACACACACACACACACACACAAACAGACACACCCTTCCCATCCACACACACAGGAAAAATAATCACTGTCACTTAATGACGTAACGAGATCTGGTGTTGGGACTATGAAAAACAGACTTGTTGAGTTCTAACTGTGATTTGTTGACTTTGAAACTGAGAAAATAAAAAGTGAACACCTAGTTAAGAAATTAAACTTATACATATACATACACACTTATACAACATACTGGAGGTTCAGATGAGTGTGACCCATGATCCTGTTTGCTGTTCTTATTAAATGGTGCTGAAGGATTCTTTCACAGATGGTGGCAATCTGTGTCTGGTGTTCACATTGACAGTGACTCCAGCTGCCAAAGTATTTGTATGTGATCACCTGTTTAATGGGATTATTGGTCACGGGGCTGAGGTCATCAGGTGAGCTCAACAGGCTTACTGGTATTTATGTGAAGTTTATTGTTGTTTCCCCAGTCTACAAACTTGTTCACAACAGCTCTGTTAGTTGAGCATGTGAAATCTGTAGTGGGAAGGCTAAGGCCTGGTCTGCAAGGCAAGATAATTATGCAGATTTTTGGTCTATCACTGTAAATTTTGCAGCGTTAAATCAACACTAATAGAGTCAAATTCGACACTGTTCCAGAGTGTATTTGGTCCCAATCAGAATTGGTGTTAAATTTACTCTTCCACAAGAGTTGAAAATCCAGTATTAAATTCACTGTAAATTGAGTAACTTTTTATTTGGAATTAACACAACAGTGTAAATTACTCCATAAAGAGTACTATTTACACATCTAAGCCACAATAAAWTTTTCAGTGTTWAATCAACACTTAAACAGTTAAATTTAACACTGTGTCTGAGTCACTTTGGTSCTTATCTGAATTTGTGTCAATTTAACACTTTCCATAGTGTTAAATTTTCAAAGTGCAATTTAACTCTAAACAGAGTTTAAAATTAACACTGATTAACACTTTTACCTTACAGTCTGGCATTAAAAGTAGACAAGGTGCCAGCCTCACAGACAGAAACTGGAAGTTGGTTCCATAAGAGAGGAGCTAATAACTAAGCTCTGCCTCCCATTCTACTTTTARTAAACCTGCAGTCTGAGAGYGAAGTGYTCTGTTAGGAAAATATGGAACAATAAGATGTTTAATATATGATGGAGCTTGGTTGTTAAGAGCTTTGTATGTTAGGAGTAATATTTTAAATTCTATT